GGGGGGGCTGGGAAAGAGCGGATGGGTGAGGGGAGCGTTTCTTGATGGGTCCTCCAGCCATGCGCCCCCCCAATCTCTGCGACTCAGGTCTGTACCTCCTCCGCGAGCCGGGGGCTGGGGGATACCGAAGGAGGTGCGCGTGGAAGCATGTGAGAGGGCATGTATGTGTAGGTTGGGGCATGGAGAGAGACTGACAGAGACTCGTGTGTGTGTGTTTCTGTCTGTCTGTGTGTCTACCTCTGTGCACGCATGCAAGTCAAGGGGCGCCCCTAGCCCTGGTCTGGTAGCTTCGCTGAACCCCATCCGAATGGCGGGGCAGGCCGGACGAGGGCAGGACGCAGGGCTGCAGACCAATCGAGGTGTCAAATCTTCAAAAGCTCGTCCGCCCTAGGGGATAAAAGGGAAACGTGGGAGGCGACCAGGTGGCCTCAGCGAGGACAGTTCCCGCACGGGGTCGTGTGTGGGCGGGGCGGGAGCGGGAAGACCCTGGCCGTCGACCCCGCGGGAGATCCCGGTCCCTGCGCAGGGACGGGGCGGGGCGTGGACTGTGCGGCCCCGGTAGCCCCACGGACTTGACCATGAACTCTAACCTTCGGGCTGCCCCAGTTATGGTTCACAGAAGTTGTCGTCGGTAACACCCCGTTCAAACTGCTAAGGTGCCTTTCCCGTCTCAGGGGCCCGGCGGCAAAGGCCTGAGGGTTTGTGGCCGATCGCCCCATCACCGGATCCAATCTGGAAGTATCTAGAGTCTTCCCTAAAGTAAAAAATCAGTAATAATCTGTTGGGGGCTGGGGAGGGGGGTGTTAGAGAGGAGGGGGACATTTCTCCAGTCCTACTCTGAGCTGCCAGTTAAAAATAGAAACCGTTTTTTTCAGACTGCTGGGGGTAGCAGTGGACCAGGAGCTCCAAGTTTCTGTAGAACCAAAAAGATACTATCCGACTATAATCAATCAATTCACTGGTACTTATTAAATGCCTACGTTAATAGGCATCGCTTTCGGGGACACGTGTCCATTTAAGTAAAAACGCAGCAAAGATTCAACCTAGTCGGTGGAGTGCTATTTCTAGGCCTTTATTTCTTCGCTCCTGGGTTCAGGCCTCGGGCACCCTTTGAGTTATTTCGGTGGAGTAATGTGGGGGAGGGTAGGACCGAGTCCCTTGTAAGTACTTGGGTCCCTGCGAGTCCCGGTTTGCTAATGGTGCACCCATCAGGGACCTACCAGAACACATCTCCCCCAGTCCTGCGGACCTGGGCTGGCGGCAGGTCGCCTGGGATGCCCAGGCCTTCTTCCTAGGTACCCCCACGATGCGGGAGAACCAGGAGGAGAACAGGGAAACCCAAACCTGCGGTCGGTCCAGCCTGTGGTCTGCCCTTGATCTCCAAGTTTTGTGAGGAAAATACACCACTTGAGACTGAAAACATCCATC